AAAGATAAGCTCACTATAGGTGTGTGGATTTATTTCTTGGTTTTCTATTCTACTCCGTTGGTCTTTGTGTCTGTTTTTATGCCAGTACCATGCAGTTTTGGTTGCTACAGCTTTGTAGTATAAGTCAGGTAATATGTCATGATGTGTGCTATAACAGAGGTAAAACAAGAACAATAGGAAAACTGGGAGTAAAGAGATTAACGTTGAGATGGAATGTGGAAACTCCTTACGAGAAAAAGAATGACTTCATCCAGGCCATGGTGGATGGGTACTTGAATTGCCAGAATTAAGGGGCAAACCTTCCAGACCAGAGGGATGGGTGGCATGAACAAAGACAGCGAAAGGCAGAACATGTTGATCAGTACACCTACACACTGGGACATCCAAGGCATTCTGTTATATTTGTTGAACATCTGTTTTCCAGGTACTGAGCTACAAGCAGGGAATAAGAATATAGAATTTGGAATTTGACAAAACCATGTGTGAATCACAGTCTACACTTAACTAGCTGTGTGACTGGAGACATCTTACTTAACTACTCAGCCTCAGTTTTAGTCATCTGTATTAAAGATACCAGTTTTGTAGAATTATTTGTGAGGATTAGATGAGATAATGTTTGTACAATACTACAACCAGCACCCTCAATCTAGTAAAGGAGACAAGCAAGTAAACAAATAATTGTATAATAAATGCTGTGAAGGAATAGGGAAGAGAGTGGCTGTCTCTGCTTGAGGGTGTTGTGTGAGGCTTCTTGAAAGAGGTGATATTTGAACTAAGATCTGAAAGGGAAGCGCGTGTTTGCAAGCCAGAGGAAAATGGAGAAAATGTCTTCTTAGTGTGAGATTTGAAAATGATAAAGCCCCTTTATCATTTGTGTGGGGTCAGAGTGGAGATGGGGATACAAGAGTAATAAACAAAAAGAGAAGGATGATCATATATATGTGCATTTCCCAACCCCTGGGCTGTGAACCAGTACCAGTCAGTGGCATATTAGGAACCGGGCTGCACAGCAGGAGGTGAGCAGCAGGCAAGCGAGTGAAGCTTCATCTGTATTTACAGCCACTCCCCATCCTCGGATCACCGCCTGAGCTCCACCTGCTGTCAGATGAGCGGTGGCATTAGATTCTCATAGGAGCACGAACCCTACTGTAAACTGTGCATGCGAGGGATCTAGGTGGGGGCTACTTACAAGAATCTAATGCCTGATGATCTGAGGTGGAGCTGAGGCAGTGATGCTAGCACTGGGGAGCAACTGCAAATACAGGTTATCATTAGCAGAGAGGTTTGCCATAATAAATCAATTGCTTGCAGACTCATATCAGAACCCTATTAGTGAGCAGCAAGTGACAATATAATAAAGTGCACAATAAATTTAATGCATTTGAATTATCCCAAAACCATCCCCATGCCCCCCACTTTACCCCCCCGGTCTGTGGAAAAACCGTCTTCCATGAAACTGGTCCCTGGTGCTAAAAGGTTGGAGACCGCTGTTATATATGTCATCTACAGATAAAGACAAAAAGTAATGTCTCATTACCACCCAAAACCACTTTTACCTGATCCAAAATGCCAGTCTCTTCCACTGAAAAAGTCAGGAGGCCTCCTGTGCTGAGCTCTCCCTCATGTAAGACGTAAATAAGTTTTCATGAGAGCTTCAGTAGCAGATGTTCTCTATTTTTTTCTGTCCGGAAGTCAAGGACCAGGAGAGAAAGAAAGAAAGAAAGACAGGCACAGACTCTCAAGAAATACAGTTGCCTTTCCTATCCTCACGTGGAACATTTTACTTACTTAGTAGACATTTTACAAGTGGGAGTCTTAGTGGTGTTCGTTGATATGTTTTACCTGTGCTCAGTGCTTTAAAGTGCATATCTTTTGTGTCTTCTTCCAGACTGAACACTTGCCTTTGCAAACTCAGTTCAAAGAAAGAGAAGTTGGCAGTCTTCAGCCCTCTGTAAGTAACACGATGGAGCTGGTAGCTTACATCCTTATTAAAATATTATTTCATTTTTATAAAAGTTCATTTTTTTCATCTCTTTTCTATTTGAGTGTCTGTACTATGATTTGCTAAAGTCATTGAGCAAGGTTCGATTACTTCTAAGTAATCTTAGAAGTAATCAAGTTTTGCGAAACCAATAACCAGGCAGAGGGGTCTGTACCAAAGACACTACAGAACATCATGGGGGATTCATTTTATAAGTGTCAGCTGTGGCCCAAGGTCAAGCCAGAAAGAAAGATCAAGACAAGAGGATATTTTTGGCAGAGTTTCTTATTCTCAGTTTTGTCCAGCATATGGTCAAATGCCAGTTCATTTTGCTGTATCCTTTCCCCAGTTCCCCAGTGCTGAATGTTGAGGTTTATTTTTGCTTTGTTTGATTTAATTCTCCGCATCCCTCCTATATTCATTCCAAACTTGAGCCTTGCTTGAGAGTCTCCTGAGATTTGCAACCCTGTCCTCCTCTGGTTTACCTTAACTGATACCAGCTCTAAATTTCAAAACCTGAAACTAATCCCAGTCTCCATTAGTCACGATTTTGTATTTAGGAGCTGCCATTGTTCTTATTCAGGTATTGTAAGCAAAAAATGACTGGAAAATGATAGGTTATTGAACTTTACCTTAGCTTGTGAGGTAATGAGTCAGGGACACAGATTGTAATGAATTCTATTCTTGTCTGTTTTTCCTAAAGTGCTAGAAAAGTGTAAACAGCTGCTCTGCTAATATAAGCAATGTTTGAATTTTTAGAATGGACTAAATAGCAGGAGATGTGACTATGAAGATGAGAATCCAGCAGGGGAAGATGGGATTCAGCAGATGT